GTAAATTGACTTGTGCCATCTTTCTCTGGATATTAAACTATAATTAATAAAACACAGCTGTCTGTTTACAGTATTGTGTAACTACACTAACTCTCACTTTATATAAGCCTGTTATATCCTGGTTAGTCTGACTGTGCAGCTGGGCCCATAACCAGTGTTAGGGAATCTGCACAGCAGTCAGGCAGGCAGGCAAAATATGTGAGATAAACGTTTTTGTAGCTTACACTCAGTAAAACAGATACACAGTGCTAATTAAACAGTTTATTCCAGTAAGAGTTATAGCATAGTCAAACAGTCCATATATCATTCACTAGTTCAGTCCGTCCAGGGATTATTCAGTTGCAAATTCCAGTGTCGAAAAAGAGAGGTCAGTAAACTTACAAATATCAGTCCAGTAATATATCTCCTCGCAGTAGAGATATGAAGAAGTCAAAACTCCTCTCTTCCTTCAGCAACTCAGCAGTAGGGGAAACACGCAGTTAACAAACCATCAATCCATGCAATCCAGTAATTGTCAGGTTCTCTTGCTCCCTCTTATGGTGGTTTCACACCACACCCAAAATTACATGCTTTGCAGTTTTAAAGTGACACACACTTAAACTTACAATCATAGTTTATATATATTATTTTACCCAAACTACGTTAGGTAACCTTGTTATTCCTAACACCGTTGCTCCATTTCTTCTAATTGACTGATATTACTGGATTTAATATAAGTCTGATACTGAACTGTTTTTTGGCACTGGAATTTGATATTTGGATTATCCCTGGTTGAAAACTGACTGATTTTACCTGTGAATGACTTTGGATTGCTTATTTTTGGACTTTGCTTAAACCTTTCTGGAACTAAAAACCTACATTTACTCTACAGCGTATCTGTGTGCTGTGTGTGTATTATTCAAACACTCCTCTCAAATACGTCTCTCTGTATGCGCTCATTCTCCTAATGGGGAATTACCTCAACAGACAGTCATGACAGGTATTTTAAGTCAGCCAGACCCAATTTTTGCCATGATTGTTAGGCAAATCAATAGAGTTGTTAAGTGAATCACATGGTTCTTGAGTGAATCCAGCTCCCTCCATCGACTTTGCTTGTCCGAATCCTCTTGGGACGATCACAAACAATGATCACGTGACCTCTGGATTCCGCCACCATCGGAAATATCACTGGTTGCCAAGCACCCAAATTCTGATCACATGACCCCCAGAGATGCTACGAGAGCTGTAAGTGTGAGGACTGGTCGTAAATCACTTCTTTTTTTCCATTGGCATTGTAATTTTAAATGGTCACTAAATGAATGGTTGTAAGTTGAGGATTAGCTGTATTGTTTTATTACGCACCACCCGGAGAGATTGCTGGAAGGTGAGCAGACCTAGGCAGAAGGTGAGCAAACTGGGATCTGCCTTTGAAGCCGCACCGGATCCCGAGGTTCAGGATTCCTCCCGCTCCTTTTTCCAGGAAAGCGGGAACTCGGAGGTGATCCTGATGATCCTGGATCTGGCCAACCTGAACTCCGTGCGAGCTTTTGCACAGACCTTCTTAGCATCGGAGCCCCGTCTGGACATCCTCATCAACAACGCAGGTGGGGCCAGAGCAGACCCTCCCCAGGGTCTCCGGAGGGGGAAGGAAGGGGGGAAGATTGAAAGGGGATTGTCTGGGATTTCTCTCCCTTTGGGGATTTGGCCAGAACTTGAGAAGCGGCTGGTTCCTAATTGTGACTGTTCATTTTTCCTATGCCACCTTTGTTATTGTTTTTACAAGTAACTCAAGGTGGCAAACAGATCCAACACTTCTTCTCCCTCCTATTTTCCTCTAAACAACAACCCTGTGAGGTGGGTTCTCCCCGTCTCCTGGTGATTGGCTCAAAGCCACTCAGTTCTTGTTGAAGGTGGGACTAGAACTCCCCGTCCCCTGGTGATTG